GAAAGGCTACTGCTGGAAAAAAGCAGCAGTGCTTCCTGCCCTAGGCTTAGTTCATCCTCCACACGCTGTGGTTGCAACGACACGAATCCCATGACCAGGCACCCCACCTCCCTATGACTACTTTGGGCAAGATGCTCGTGATCACACTTCCAAAGGAAAGATACCGTACGTAGACCGAGTGCTGGACACCCAGGGCAACAGCGCAGGGGTTCACTGCAGAATTCAGCCTCAGGCACACTCTCTTAAATCTTACATGCTATACCTGCTGGCTAGCAAGACTGTAGCCAAAATATCAATCAAACTGGTGCCTGCTTGCTCTTTAACAAATCCTGACACCATGTAGGAGGAAACCGTCCTGTTTCCTAATGCCATTATTCTTAGAACAGCTAATTATTCTTAGATTTCTATATCTGGCTTTATCTTGTTCACCCTTTATTTCCCCCTGCATATTATCTTAGGCTCTGTCATCCTTTTCTCTACAGCTCACTTATGACTTAAACCAGTTTAGTCTCAGACAAATACACCATTACACAGTTAACAGCACGGCCTGCAAGGACTCACATCTCACAAAACAAGATGACTGACTCAGAAATTGTTTTTTAAGGTTTTTAAGAAACTAAGAAAACATTCTTTGCCTTCTACTTGTCTCTATGGCTGGGCAAGGAGAAAAATCTATAATGTAATTAAGGAAGTCATCAAGCTTGTGAATCTGTAGCTGAGGAAGAAGAAACTGATCTGCCATTTCAAGCAAGGGGAGCTTTTCCACACCAAATGTGCTTAGCCATGTACAATGACGAATGTAGCATTGTTAAGGTAAGCAGAGTTCTATAATTTTGGCAAGAGTAGTTTTAGTACAGGACTTTACCAAACAGGGCAAATCCATGGCTTCGCCTATACAGCAAGAACAGCCACAGCACTGGACTGATGCAGGTCAAAGACCCAAGTAAGTGGTCTTGGAACAGAATCCCATGTTTACCTACCAGCTGGGATTTTCAATCCTGAATTCATCCTTGTTCAGCTGTAAATCCCTTTTTGGGCTCTGGCCGTATGCTTTTTCACAATTCCTGATTCAGATCAGCAGACTGCAAATCTGTCCCCCAGAAGTGAATTTGGATTTAAGAAACGTTTGATCTGGATTTGATTGCCAGAGATTTTGCAGGGAGATGCAGCAAAGCTTTGAAAACAGATGGGAAAATTATGCTGAGATGGTAAATTTCAGCTCCTAAACACAAATGGCCTTTGTGTTCAGGAACAATTAAAAGGTGATGAGAAACATCCACTCCATTCATATGCCCTAAAATCTGAAAGGGGGAAAAGAGACAGGCAGATCAGACTTACTTTTCTGATTGCTGTCCAAGACTTGCGGTACTGCTGCCAGGATTTTGGAGGAGATGCAATGGCCACTCAGGGTGAGACCGGGGGAGGAGACCCTGCAATAACTATTCTGAAGTTTGATCCAGATTCAGGAACAGAGTCCTACTTCTCTCAGTGCAATACAATCTACCAAACCTTTATTTCCCTATGAAACATGGATTTTTATCAGAACTACTAAGTTAAAATAATTGAATTAAATTCTCACTAAATTTTACATATAGTAGAAATATTTGGATAATTTACTTTCCAATAAATAAACATTACTTTCATTGCAGTGAACGGACTTATTGCAATACCTGACTCAGATGACGTTTCAGTGATCTTTAAATTCATTTATACGCATTGTAAACTTATGTGGTAGGTAAATTCATGTCATTCCTATAAATACTTCTGGAAAACTTTGCAATACAAAGAAAAATCCTCCTGAGAATTACTTCAGTGAAAGATGTTGTATGCCAGTAAGAAAGGTAATTGCTACTGGTAATGTATTTTACTTTGCGTATTCTATAATAATGTTCTTATATAACCAAATACAAAAAGGTAGTGACAGTGTATCCAGCCCTCTCTCTCCTCTTCCATCAAAATGGTCTACCAGTTTTTGTTGCTAACCTGTGGCACTGTGATTTCTAAAGACAATACATTCAAGACAAGATGCACAAAGGCATTAAAATTTTTATGTTAAGAGCAGGGAAGAGAGAACAATGCTTAAGAAAGTGATAAATACCATCTTTAAAAAAATGGATAAAAGCCATAAAATGCAAAAGTCTTTAAGGAGACTGTACCTTTATGTATAGCACAAAGCTGTATTTTTCACATCAATATTAAATTTTAACGATGTCAATAACATGCTGGCACAGGCAGTAGGAGTCAATACTCTACGCAGGTATCCAAAAATACTGATATTTAGACATTCCTTTCTCGAAGGCAAACCCAAGACTAGCATGAATTCCCACTATAATCAAGGACCATCTAAGTATGGGTCACTCTTCTTTAACCTTACACCTATCAGTACACAGGACCAAACTTGCTGACTCAGCACACAGACAAAATCTTATTACTTTGGTTTAAAAGCAGGGCACATCTCCAAGATCATACCACTACGAAAACTGTATTTCAAATTGTCTTTAAGATGAAGTTCAGTGTGCTGGAATTTAAAAGAAAAGAAAAGAAGGGGAAAAAAGAAAAAAAAAAAAAGGAAAACACGAGCAGCTTCTCATCTTTCTGTCTCTTAGAAGACAGACACAGAAGTCCCAACTTACCACAGCAAAAGAAATGAAAAAAAAACCTCCTACAAAATTAATGCCTTTCCCTGTTTTCCAGCAAGTCTTTGTTTCTTTATATCCCTCTTGCACTCTACGCTACCAAAGGCCACAGATGTCTGTCTGGTTGCGTGTCTAGACCATGCCTAATCTCATGCTCTGCAAATGTACCCAAGTGAGCTCTGAACTCATCACATCCCAGAGCGATCGCCCTCACATGGCGCTCACTCTGCTAAGGAGCGTGGCTGCTCCGCATCAGCAGAACAAGGTCTAGATAAATCTGCACTGTTCTGTGTGGTTCATTACAAATTTATCCTAAAACCAGCAGTAAACACATCTAATAATAGTACACATCTCCTTGTAGTGCATTCTCAAGTGGTCATAACTTTTTACGTATCTGCTAGGAATTACAATAATCAGCAGTGAAGAAAACAGTAGCTTAATAATTAGCTTGCATATCTAGAAGAAACCTTATCAGGATAGCAAGATAACCTCCATTGTTGAACTGAGCAGGGCTAAAATCAAAAGTTATTTCCAACATGATCACAGACATTAAGAGAAAAGCCTGCTGTAATTGCTTTGTACTTTGATAGTATGAGCAGGCCAGTAATACCGTGTCCATTTTCCCATTCTTAATTGTATTTTTTTCTTTTTTTTTCAGATGCATCCAGGTGTTTTTCTCTTGTCAGAGGATAGTCTGAATGCATCCTTGAGGGCAAAAGAGTCTCACTAAAACCACATTTAGCACATAATGGGAATTCAGTAATGGCTCATTTAATCTCTTTGAAGACTATGGTCAGAGGTCCTTAGATCCAATATACTGCATCTGTGTGCATTAATAATGGAGTATTACATTCATTGTGCTTCATAATGTGTGGCATAGATAAATACACATGTGTAACCACACTTTGAAAGACTAATTTTCTTCTTCAGCTCTTCCAGTTTAGATAAATATACTGCACACTCTGGAAGGAGACACTCGTATTGATTGCTACTATTTGAGTAGCAGACAAACTATTTGTTTAAATGATGCTTTGTCATCTGAAGAACCTGGAAAAAAGTCTTTGCTGAAGGTTAGCAATTGTTTATGAGAGGTAAAAAAATTACATCCTTTTCTGCACAAAGTTCTCTATACTGGAAAGGCTAATTCAATCACCTGCAATGACATTATTTCATATTCATCTGACAAATTATTTTGCAAAAAAATCCCTCATTTACTGAAAAAAAAAAAAGAAACGTTCAGCTGTCTCAAAGAATACAAAACCTCATTTTATTCTTTTCCTTATAGCAAAGTCAAGATGATATTTTATTTCACATCTTTCCACTTAATAAAATACTTTTTTTTTTTTTAAATACAGCAAACTACTTGCCAAGTATGTGAACATCATTGCCCATTTTCATAGCAAGATATTTCACCTGGTTATGTTTACAAAGGAAAACCAATCTGGATATCACATTTCCATTTGAAATTTGGACTTGATAACTGCAAATAAAAAAATTAAAAAACATTTCTGTTTTTCCAGCTTTACTCTGCATTTGACAGAGCACTGGGGATGCCAGTTGCATAGTTTAAATTGCCTCTTTCACCTCATCTTACAATACTTCAACATTATTTAGAGTAAATCTTTCTTCAGACTGTGCCAGAAAGGGCCAAGATCAGGAGAAAAGCTGAAGCTGAAAAGCAACAAGGCGTGCATGAGAATGAAGAAGAGGGAAAACAAAACACAGCCAATGCATGTTTTGTGCTGCTTCTTTGAAAACTACTAGTTGCACCATCATCAATCTCATCAGCAGAAACAAAACTCTCCTACCCAGCCACACTTTCTTAAATTCACTGTGCACATAAAATTTAGGGGGTGCTCTACAAAACCAGTGAATTTTAAATGCATTAATACTAGAACAAAAAGACAGACTCTTTATGGTATTCATTCTTACCAATTACACAGCAGTATAGAACAGTCAAGACTCAGCTACATTATCCCAATGCAGAGGAATATTTCTTTAGAAATTGAAGTACAATAAAGTTAAAAGACATTATTTTATTTATAAAAGATTTACCTAATAATTTACCAACATAATTTTTCATGTTTTCTAAACATATTAGAAACTAAATCCAATGCCAATAGACATTTCGCAATTAAGGAAAAGGGTGGAAACCACTTCAGGGAAGGAATGTGGAGTAAGAAAACTACATACAATCAGGAAGTGGATGTGGGGCATCATATCACAATGCAGCATCTCTTATCTCTCAAAAGGCAGAAAAGTCAACTTAATGCACCTAGAACTACACCCTGATAAAAATCTATTAGTCTCCAGACCTATATTTTGCATCTCCAATATTCTCCATCTTTAAGCATGATTTGAGGATTAAAAACTGTCTTTTCTTTCATCTTCAGGTTCACACATACTTTTCCATTTTTGTAGTTCCTGAGAACCATTTATCTTCCATACTTCAGCAAAGGATTTCAGCTTTTTTCTGGGAAGGGAGAAACAAAAAAAATCAATCAAAATACAGACACATTTTTAAATTAAGCACATCAACCTTGAAAGCCCTACAGTCATCTGCAAAATTTTATACACAGTCAAAAATAGCAGTTTGCACAGCTCCAAATGTTATGTGATCTTTAAACAATCAGTTAACATTTTCCAATGTATGTAGTCCAGCTCTAGGACAGTCAACAATTTAATTTTATAACTAACTTACAGTACCAGAAGCATTGACAAGATGAAATAATACATTGAGCAAGAGTAAACCATTAAAGGAAATAAATAATATTGTAGTTTGCACAGTTTAATTTTCAGCATTCAGTTTCTACAAATTTGCACAGGTAGAATCATAAAGGGCTAACGCATTTTCAAAATAAATGAATACACACATCTTTCCTATTTTCTTTTTAATACTTTTTGATTTAAGATGGACTCATAAGAGCTGTGACAAATAACAAGACGACAATTAAAATGGGTTAACACACATTCCTGATGACAAAGATCTCAAGACTGGATGGAATTACCCAGTGGATTTTCTTAAATAATATGAAAGTGATTTAAAAAAAATAAGACAAGGCAGCTGGCCTGTGGGTATTGTGACAGCACAGACCTGCTATGAACAGGTCTGAGTTTGATTGCCAAGATCATGATAATTTTTATTTTCTACCACAGATATACCATACTCATTTTAAAATTTGTTAATGTCTCTTCTGTTAAGTTTCAAAAGAACTGCTTGCACCTACAAATAATTAGAACTTAAATTTTTCTCATATGAAATTATTCTGTCAGGATTAATTATGGCCATCAGGCAACAAAGATCTTGATTTATTACATTCCTAAGGGGCTATCTGAATTTTGCTGATAGGACTGCCACTGAAAATGATAACAACAAAAAATTCAGTGGAAATTAATATGAATCCTAGCACATATTTATATCTAAACTATGTACATAATGTTGCAGGCTTTATAAAGGTGATACCATTTGATACACATGGGAATTTTCATAACTAGTCTAATATATAAGGTACATATACCCCTAAATGAAAATTGGTTATCAGAAAAACATTAAAACCCCCAGACTTTCAGTAAAATTTGGGGGGGGGCAATCAAAATACATCATAAATATTTATTTTTGAGTTAAACCAGAAGAATATCTGCATTCCCTTCTACATTATAGTATGCAAATACAATTTCAAGTTCCAAAGTGAATAACATACTTTCTAAATTAAATCTATTAATATTTTCGCTATCACTGGTGAGAACAGAAGTAGATATTAGAAAATAGCTATATTTTAAGTTCGTCTTCCTGAAAACAGTGAAAATACATACCTGAGAGAATAACTTTGCTGGTATTTGCCATAAGAAAATAAAAAGTAGTTTATTCCTAATGTTAGCTCAATGTGCATTTAATTTTTCCAATCTTGTTTCAGAGGGCAGCAATTAACCTCTGACATAATAGCTACCTATAAAATCTAAAGCTTTGATTGAAATGAATAGCACAATTTCATAAATACTTTTTTCAAAATTTTGTTTCACTATCTCTTCCCTGAACGGTAGGAGGGTATCTGCAGTAGCTCTTACTGTTCTTTTTAATGCACACCATGTGAAATACTCTTTGATTCATAGCTGAAGCTTCATTACGGGGGGGTGGGGGGAATCACAATTGTTCTGACCTTTTCATATTCACTATTCTCTCCAACTCCTTTGATTTGTGAGCTGCCTTCTTTAAGATTTCTTCAGGAATATCTGCCAGTTTGGCAACATTTAGCCCGTAACTCCTCGCAGACACTCCTTTAGTTATTTGATAAAGAAAAGTGATAAATTCAGGATTCTCTTCATCTTCAGATCCTAAAAAAAAACCCCAAAATCAAAACCTCCTCTATTATGTTAATACAATGTATAACACCAAAGACTGAAATGGCAAAGATTGTGGTCTCATTATCATTCATGCTTCCTGTATGATTTATTCCACTGAAGAAATAAGAAAAATGTTTCCTTGAGACCACACATTTTATCTGAGACTGAAAAAACTCCTTAATATACTTTTACCTGGTGCCTTATTAAGCAGTCTTGTTTGTGTGTGTGTAAAATTTAGAATCTTGAATGTCAAATTGATTAGTTATGCTGTAACTGGGATATTCCATCTCACATCTGCTAAGCAATGACAGAATAACAGAAGTGTCAGTAATCCCACAGACAAGAAGTCCGTAACTACAGCACAACAAAAAGTTTGCTGCCTACCAGGAGGCTAGGAGCCATAGAAAATGCTTAGGAAAAACCAAAGGTTAAGATGGTGGATCTTCTGCTAGTGATTTTTTCTATTGCATGTCAATAAGATGGAAACACAAGAGCCATCATTATAAATCTGATGACTCCTTCCTCTTCCTCTTTAGATATCCTTGCTGGCAGCTCTACACAATCCAGGCCTTGTGTAAAGAGCAGCAAAACTACAGTGTTCTTCACTGACATTCATTCTCTGTCTTAAAAAAGCAGGTTTTTGGAAACAATAGAGATTTCCATAAATGCTGATGACTCAAGCTGATTTGATCTGAGTGATCCAAGCCAAAGATTGGAAAAAAACATGCCACAAAATTCACCTTAAATAAAACAATTAAAATGTTAAGAAAACAGGAGCTAAAGATACAAGCAGAGTAAGAAACGCAGATGTGTTGTTGCTCACAGGCTGTGGTACTACACCTATTGTGCTTTCTGTAGCAAAAGAGTGAAGACTACATGTGGCCTGAAGGTTCATGTCAACAAACATTGAAAGTAGAAATCCTGAAGCAGCACAGTAAAACATAAAGTATAGGGTTTCATGGACACAATACCTAAGGAATAGTAAGCACTGAATGTTGGTAACATCTCTGAGAGTATCAGAGATCAACAGTTCAATTAATGAACTCTGTGAGAAAAGGACATGCTGATGCTCAGGAGAGTGATGCTCTTAAATGGGAACATCAGCATGCCTAGGTAGTGCTCACCTACACACAACATTACTTTGAACTACTTGTGCTCAAAGTTAACATGTATTTCAGGGATCCCTGTTTCTAATATTAAACAGAATACAAAAGCTGAAGTCTCCCTCCAGCCAAACCCTAAATTTTTAAACTAAGTCTCCAAAAATAATTTAAAAAATGATAGATTGTTTATTTAAACACATTATTTAGTGGCAAATACTGAAGCGCCCTGCCCTGATTAGTTTACAATGTAAGCAGATAGTACAGTATTAAGAATGAATTAGGGGGAAGGTTAATGGCAAATACCATGTAAATTCTTAAAAAAATTCTAGGAATGATTCAGGGAACAGGCCATTACTATGCAAAGTAGGAAAACCAGAAAGAGAGCAGAACTGTCAAGCACCTGATTAAACCTGATACATCAAGAAAAAAAAAAATTAAAGCAGTTTGTATGGAGGGAAATCCTACATCACAAATCTGTTGTAAGTTTGGAAGCCATGTGAGTAAGAGATCCAGTGGTTAAACCCTATGTGGATTTTCAAAAGGCTTTTGACAAGAGTCCTGCATCAAATGTTCTTCTGAAAACTAAGCAGTAGTAATCTAAAAGGCAAGCCTTTGCCTCTGTAAATAATTGGTTAAAAGATAGGAAACAGATGGTAACAGTCAGTTCTCACCATGAAAAGTGATCATCACTGCAGTTAGAGAGAACTCATTATCAAACAAGAAAAAGGACTAAGCAGTAAGCTGACGAACTTTACTGAAAATACTAATACAAAGCAACAGTGACAAGAAGAAATGCTGTAACTCTTCTGCCTGGTAAGAACAGAACTGAATGCGATTATGATACGCGATCTACAAAACAAGGCATGGCATATAGAGGATGAACAGAGATTATTTCTCTGCCTCTTCTAATTCAAGAACTGGGACCATCAAATGAAGCTACATATTGTTTCAAAAGAGTTTCAAAACAAACAAGAGGAGGTGGCTTTCACAGAATGCAGTGTTAAATTTTGGAGCTCCTTGACACAGTAGGATGAAGATGCTAGAAGTACACAAGGATACTCAGGATACATAGACAATGTAGTTGAAATGAAATCCATTGAAGATACTAAAAACCAGAAAACACATCTACCTCCTGAAGCACCTCAAATAGCAAATGTTTGCAGACAATGAGATCTTTTAGAGAAAGAGTTGCCATATGTTTGATCCCTAACCCCTCCTCCCTAATCCTTTGTATTTGGCTACTGTGAGAAGCTGGATACTGGGCTGGGTGAACCTTTTATCTGACCTAGCTCAATCATCCTTATATTAAGTGTGAAAGAGAAATGGTTGTTCAATTTTCAAGCCCCGCAAAATGTGTGTATAGGCTGGTAATCTAGTGAGTTTGGATGTATCACCTTCATATTGAGGTTTAAATCACCGTAACAATTTTACAATTTCTGCCTATACCTATAGTGCCAAATGTCAGATGGATTTATACTGTACCTTTTTGTTCAGCACCTTCCTCCTCATTCACCAAGAAAGCCATGTGGTAATTACCAACTTTTTCCGGATACACCTTCTCTAGCTCACAAACTGAGGGATAGTGAGTGACAAACAGTGTCAGCGACTCCACCTACAACAATGAAATAGACACGTGAGAAGGTTTGGCTTTAAATTTTTTTAAGCACAGCAGCATAGCACTGGTATCCTTTATTCATACCCCTTATGCTCTGAGTTTAGACATGCCACATTTCTACAAGGAAATATACACCGTATCAAAGTCAGCCTATCATAGCACAGCTGAAAAAGCATTCAAAAGCATGTGTCAGATTGACCACTTACATCTCTAATAAAATGTTCAAGTGTAGCATAAGCAATAGCGATTCCATCGTGTGTACTAGTTCCTCTTCCCAATTCATCCAAAATTACTAGGGATCTTGAAGTTGCTTTTCTTATTATCTCAGCAGTATCTGTCAGTTCTTCCATAAAGGTACTTTGGCCTTTGTAAATGTTGTCTGCTGCACCCATTCTGCATTGGTACACAAAATCAATTTATTAAGTTCAAATAAATGCCAGATAACGCTGAAAAAAACCCCACGATAATGAAACCATTTTGTTACAAATCTCTTGTTGCTGCTCCAAGCAGAAGAGAAAAACTCAGGCAAAACATTCACCTCTCAGAACAACCTATTGCTTAGGAGAAAAAGCAACAACAGCACATGGTGCAGATGTGAGGGTACTCTAAAAGATTGAGAAGTCCACAGGGAACTCCTTATGTACCATTAAATAAGGGCTTGCATGCATTCCCCAAGAGAACAGGGTATACAGACCCTATGGGCACCTGGCGGAGGTTAGACAGTAGAGACAGCAGAGAATTTTTCTGGGCCATCAGTAACCTAGTCCCAAGGTAAATCCATAGACAGAAATGTCAGCATCCCGTGTCAACTACACGAATTGGGGGAAAAGGGGAAGTAGACAAGGGGTTTCTTAGTATGCGATTCCTCCATCTTGACAAACTGTACAAGGCAGCCTGCTCTTCCCTTAAAAACGACCCTGGGAATTCAGACTAGTCAGCTCACTAGAAGATTCCAGCAAAGGTAGCTGTGAAAATGAATTTTTTTTTTTGTTTTAGTTCAAACATCCAATTTGTATGTTTTTTAAATGCTAACAACACCTGAAAATATCAGATATTAGAATTTCCATGTAGAGATAGAATGGACACTCATGTGACCAGGTATTTGTGCATCCAGATGCAACAGTAGTTCCTTCAGGCAGTAACAAAATAATGATTATTTCCCCTAATTGCACAATCTTACTAGCATGCTTAAACATGATTTTAAGAGAAAGACTTCTCTCCTCATCCTTTTACACAACTGCCCTTGAACTTACCGGTCTCCACACAGGTGAGCTTCTCCTCTGCTCCACACACATACACACGCGCACACACGCACACAAATTCCTTCATGTTTCATACAAGTCTTTCAGATTCATGCAACCTTCAATCCTCAAATTCTATTTCAAATTGTGAAATTGCAGTTTTCATCGCAGAAACCTGTTGGTAATTCACCCTGTTTTTGTCTTCTGCAGCTTTCCTTACCTATTCAATTAATATGCTTTTTACCCGGAAGAAAGAATATTTCCTTTTTCCATATATGCTTTTCAATTACATAAATCACATTGCAATATCACTTCTGAGATAGGTTATCACTAGCAAGCCATTGAATAGGGCTGTCAAAATGGATTTATTCACTCTCATTACCCAATAATCTAGTTACACACAAGCCACATTGATTTAAGGAAAACCAACTCATGAGCTTAGCATATTACTTTTTCAAATATAACAGCTGGCCACAACAGTATTTAAAGCCAATCAAAACCTTTAAAGAGAATCCCAATACAGCTTTTTTTCTCTCAGTCTTTTGCTGCATCTCTCTCTAATATAATTGCTTCTGTTGCCTACAGAAGCATAGCAAGATACTCATCATTTTATGAGGATGTTATGATTGCCAAGAGTAATTGGCTACCAATACCAAAAACTAGCAGGCTGGACCCAGTACAACTATAATTTCTATATCTTCTCTGGTTCCTGTCCTGGAAATTTGGCATGGTGGCATGCATAAGTTCACAATGCGCAAATCTTCAATTATAAATAAACTTATTTTGGTTGGAGATGGGCATTATGATACAATGAGCAAACTGAGTGTTTTTATTTCATTGAGTATGTGCTTACATACACACACAGCAGGTATACTCCCACATACCCTGGAAGAAAGGTGATTTTGCACATAATCTAATTAAACTTTACATTAATTTCACTGAATTAAATATGTTATTCAGGATATTGAGTCATTGTGAAATTAACATTTTATTAAGCTACTTACTGCTGTAATCCTTTCCAACGATGGGTTAAGAACTACGAAAATATTACTCAATTTCTCACAGTGCCCCCAACACCCCCCAACCCCTTTCCTAGTTTGGTTCAGCCATCATGTACTACTGTAAAATCAAACAATCCCCCTTTATCACAATATTGCACAGATCTACAGAGAACAATATAAATTAGATCTATTTTTAACATTATTAACTACATATAAGTTCACCAGAGTGACAAATACTTTTTATGTCTGAACGATCTCTGGCTCCATTACGGGCAACTTTAACTTTAGTTTCCGACCGCAGGATTATTAGTATTATTATTTTATCATTTTTATTTGGCTTTTCATTACAGAGACAGCATCTAACAGGCTGTCTGTTCTGCACCTATGATGATTACAGAGAGTTCTCATTTCTATTTTTCTCTTGGACTGCATCATTTCCATAGAGTCCTCAAAATCATTTAGTCATTTTGTATCTAATTTGCATTCACCAAAATAATTTTCAGAACTTCCTCACTAAATGCTCAAGATACAAACAGAAATGAGTATTATCTTTCTCTTGTCGTTAACAACAGCTGCAAAAGAAGCCTTTCTTTTCAGTGTCTTAAAACATTCAAATCCTACTCAGGCCTATCTACAGATTAAAAAAAAAGATGTATTTTTAAATGACATAAAAACTCTTAAATGTCATCCTTTTAAAATGGGTAAAATTGTTCTTTCTGCCTCTGTCCTTGACACTAGAAGAATCATACTTGTTTTTTAAACTTACATGGTAAGCAATATTATTCCAGAAACAAGTAAGAAAAACTATTTTAATATGGATGATTGCATTTATAAAATGAACAGTTAATATGCAGCAAGGCACTGCTCCCTAACTGTATGGTGTATGATTCCTGACACAATAAAGTTTTTGAGTTAAAACATCCATTGCTTAAACAATTCTTTTTCTTCAAGTTTAAAACAGCTGTAATAAATCCCACTAAACTTCTACAAGATTCAGTTGCTTTGAATTTACATTTTAATGTAGCTTGCCTCCTAAATGGCTTTATACATCAAAACATTAAACTTTTTCCTATAATACTGAATAGAATCTAGATGATTTACCATTGTTAGCAGCTACTCTATAGGTAATACCTGGGATGCCATTCCTATGAATTGTTAGGGTAAAAATGCTAAAAGAACTGTTACAGATAATCATCTTAGCCTTAAGCACTTAAACCATGGTTTTTTTGTTTGCTTTTTTTTTGTTTTTACATATGGTCTTAATAAAGTCTCCAAGACTTACTTTCTCTGGAAAGCTGCCTACAACAGGATCAGATATTTTTCTAACTTTTATATGTACACAGAAGTAACTATTTGATTACATTTTAATGCTGCATTCATCACTACGGTATATGACGATACAGTGAAATATGTGAAGAGGTATGAGTGATGCAGACATGTTATGCACTACCCAAATTTTATTTTCTTCCCTCTCCTAATTTAACAGGAAAAAAAAAAAGCCAAAAAAAAGCGCACGCCTGTGAAAAAAGGTTACAACAGAATAAGGCAGTCACAAAAGCAAACCATTAGAGCAAGAACAATGTCACCCAACTTCACCAGCTCTACTCCTCTATTTGTTAAAATACCAGCCGCTGGAAGTAGTGACACAGTTAATACGAAAACTTCCAATTCTGCTATGGAATTTCCAATGTCTACGTTCAGAAAGATTAGTGCGTTCTGCCCACGAGGAGTGTGCAGACATCCAGTGTGAAGAGTGCCTCTTTAGTGCTGGCAAGAGATCCATCACTCCTCAGCAAATGCAATTTGGCTGAAACCACTTGTTATAATGCCTCTTTGACAGCCAACCAAATTTCATAAAATTAAAAGCTCTTCATCTTATAATGTTCAACACATTTATTATGTAAAGAAAAAAAAAAAAAAGAGGAGGCATTATCTCTTTCCAGTGCTAGGTTTCAAGTAGTAAAGATTCCTGTCTATAACCTCAGAAAAAACAACAGGGAGGCAATGTTTTCATAAATTAATTTTTTGAGGATAAGTTAGATGATATGCAGCAGTAGCTAGCTTTATGTAAACCAGCTAGCACTACATGCTCAACCTATATGTGACCCCTTAAAGAAACAGATACATATTTCCTCATTCTGCAGTAGCAGCATTCAAATGCTGCTTTTTTAACCTGCTCTCCTGAGTCAATACACACACGCAGTACTGACCTTTTCCAATTCAAGTGCTCATCATCCTGGGAAGTTATCCTATGATTTTTTTTTCCTATGAGGCTCTATAAATGTTGGGAGTTTTTTTAATCATACAAGCTATGATACCACTCAGAAAGCACTAGAACTAAACAGCATAACTTTTTTCCTTGCATGTCAAGAATTTTTATGTAGTCAGTATCCATTTAAACGTCCTCTCAACAGGCATGAACTCATATTGCTAAACTGTGTGGCCCTGAAAATTACCTCAAAGTCTGGTACTTTCAAGCTTTTCATCAGCTAGACACGTCTAAGGGCTTTGATAGCCATCCACGAAAAATTTGTATGGAAGAGGAAATTTAAATTGAGGTCTGTTATTACTGCTCTCAAAAAGCAAAGTGTCCGGAGAAGGGGATAGACTTGCAGACTTGATGACTAACAGTGGCATAAAACAATAGAATAATGCAAGACATTGTTTTGGAGTGGAGCAGAGATGCCCTCAGAGAACTGCAGCTGCCCTATGCTAGCAGTCCAGGGGTGAAAGCGATGACATGTAGGTTAAAACAGAACTTGCCCTAGTATGACAGAAGGCAGTGAAAAAAATGAATTTCCCAAGCAGAAAAATGAATCTGAAATCCAGAAGCTTCTAGTTACAGCTTTTTCCATGCTATCTTTCAAAAGAAGTTATCCAACATGCTATTAGTTGGTTCAGTTAAAAAACTAAGAGCACTGTGTGGACCTCATGGATTTTATTATTCTTTTGTATTACTACGAATCCCTCACATTGGTGACAATGACCAAGCAGCCCAAGAGCTCCCAGTAGTAACAAAAAGCAACTACGTAGCACCGAACGAATCCTGGAAAACAAGACCGCAAAACCATTCCCTAAAGCCTTATTTTCATACAGTTGTCAACATCCCAATGCTGTTTATTAATTCCTAGTTTATAAAATACTTAATGCT